CAGTGATTAGACATTATAAAACTAAGTGATCACCCCAATATTTCCAGTACCTGACACCATATAGTTATTAAAATATTATTGACTATATTCCCTATACTGTACATCCCCATGACTATTCTGTAACTATCAATTTGTACTTAATCCCTTCATCATTTTCACCCATTCCCCAACCCCCTCCCATAAGACAACCATCAAAATGCTCTCTGCACCTATGGGTCTGTTTAGGTCTGCTTACTCGTTTATTTTGTTTTTTTAGACTTATTTTGTCTGGTGTAAGTATTGCTACCTCAGCTTTTGTTTGTTTTCATTTTCACGAAATATCTTTTTCTGTCCCTTTACTTTCAGTCCAGGTGTGTGTCTTTCAATCTGATGTGAGTCTCTTGTAGACAGCATATGTAAGGGTCTTGTTTTGTCATCCATTTAGCCTATATATGTCTTTTGATAGCATTTAATTCATTTGCATTTAAAGGAAATGTTGATAGATATGTATTTATTGCCATTTTATTATTCATATTTTTATCTTTTTCTTCTTTTTAAAGAAGACCCATTAACATTTATTATTATACTGGTTTGGTGGTGATAAACTCCTTTAGCTTTTTCTTGTCTGGGAAGCTATCTGTTCTTTGATTCTAAATAATAGCTTTGCTGGGTAATCTTGGTTGTAGGTCCTTGCTCTCCATTACTTTGAATATTTCTTGCCAGTTCTGTCTGGCCTGCAAATCAGCTGACAGTCTTATGGGAGCTCCCTTGTAGGTAATTGCTATTCTTTTGCTGCTTTTATGATTCTCTTTGTCTTCAACTTTTGGCACTTTAATAATAATGTGTTTTGATGTGCGCTTCTTTGGTTCATCTTGTATGAGACCCCACACTTCCTGGACTTGTATGTCTCCCTGGACTTGTAAGTCAAGGCTTTTAATTCCTTGCTCTCTCTCTTCTCCTTCTGGCATGAAGTGAATGTTGGGTATGCTTGAAATTGTTCCGGAGGCTCCTTTTACTATCATTTTTTTAAACATTCTTTATTCTTTTTGTTGTTCTGATTGGGTGTTTTCTGCTTTCTTATCTTCCAAATCACTGATTTGACCCTTGACTTCATATGTTCCACTGCTGACTGCCTATAATGTAGTCTTCATTTCTGACTGGTTATTTTTTATGTTTTTAATCTCCTTTTTCTTTTCCTCTTTGTTGAAGTTTTAAGTTCATCTACTCTTCCCCTAAGTTCACTGAGCACCCTTATAACCAATCTGCATCTAGTAGATTGCTTGTCTCCATTTGTTTAGTTCTTTTTCCGGAGTTTTGTTCCGTTCTTTCATTTGGGACGTTTCTTTGTCTCCCCATTTTTGCTGCCTCGCTGTTTGTTTCTATGTACTATGTAGAACTTCTATGTCTCCTGGACTTGGTAAAGTGGCCTTATTAGTAGGTGTCCTATAGGGTGGTGGCACAGCCTCCCCAATCACTCAAGTTGGGCTCTCTAGGTGAGCCCCTCATGTGGGCTATATCCTTGTTTTGTATTTGAGCCTTGTTTGCTGTTGGCACCTCAATGGGAAAGATTTACCCCAAGGCCGATTGTCTGTGAGGCCTGGCTTCGACCACCATTGAGGATCAGCTGTGCAGGGGTGAACCACACAGAGCAAGAGTTACTTGTGTCTGCTGAGTCCACCCCTTTAGTTTGTACCTAGTGTAGGAACTTGGGTGGTCTGAAGCTGTTCACCCATTTTGCTGGCTCTAGGGGCCTCCTGGGAAGTGCAAGTCAAAGTCAGCTGCCACCTGTGCCCTGCCTGGGGCTATTAGGTTTGAGCTACAAAGTTATCTGCAGATGGCTGCTATTTGTGCTTGACTTGGAGGTGCCCAGGAAAGGCCAAGCTATGCACCAAGGCTAGCTGTTGCTAGTGTCAGGCCTGGAGCCACTTAGCAAGGGGTATAAGGCATGCCAAGGCCAAATGCTGCTTGTTTGAGAAATTTTAGGCAAATACGAAGCAGGAACTGTTTCCATACAAGACAGGCTGGAAGCTTCTTGGGTGGGCCCACAAGTTGGGTGTGGCAAGATCTCAGTGAATCACCAAGTGGGGCAAACAGTATTTTCCAGGTTGATGGAGACTTAGATATGGTACCCACCTGCTGGCTTGAGGGGGGAGGGGAGTTGAAAAGGAACATGGCCTCTCCATCTTTCACTCTGATGCCAGACAATTTAGTTTCTCCTCATATGTCCCTGGTGCCCCAGTGCTGGAACTCAGAGCATGTAAGTCTGTGCTTGGGCCCTTTAACAGGAAGGCCTGGGACTTCAGAGCCCTCCATCTCACTCAGCCTCAATCCCCACTGCTTTTTTTCAGCCAAAAGTTATGGGGATTTCTCTTCCTCACACTAGAACCCTGAGTTAGGGGACCTGGGCTGGAGGACCTCTGCATCTGAGAGATCCCTCCCCATTTTTATCTGCCACATGTGTGTGTGGGGGGGACCCAGACCATCTCCATCCCTCCTACCAGTCTTGATGTGGCTTCTTCTTTATATCTTTAGTTGTAGGAATTCTATTTAGCTAGGTTTCAGGCAGTTCTGAATGATGGTTGTTCTGTAGGTTAGTTGTAATTTTGATATGGTTATGGGAGGATCCAAATACCACACTTACCTACACTGTCAGCTTGAGACCACATCCTTATATCATGATTTTATTGTTTCTCCTCTGGTAATAATGAAAGCTACAATCCACTGGAGAAAAACAGGTTGTATGCCCAATGGTCCTATTATTAACCTGTCAGGCTTAGTTTTTGCTAGGTGATTTACTGTACGCTAACAATCAATTGAGCAACATAAAATACATACTTTTGTTATTTTTACACAGGAAAGCAAAATTTAGCTAGAAGTCAAATAGTGACCAAAAGTTTCATAAAATTAATAAAAATCTAAGGGGGTATTTGCATGCTGATACTTCTTCCATAGCATACTTACAAACTTTTCCAAACATGTTTTCAGGTAAGCCTGCATATCTATTATAGTTGGTATTTTGATTATAGCCTGTTTATTTCTTCCTCCTGTAGACACCTGCATTAATAGGTACCAACATTAACATGTTCCTGATCTTTCATAATGCCAATTTCTTGAGAAATGGTTCAATTTTCAAGAAAAAGTTATCAGTTCTGCTGATCTTCTACTCAGCGACACCCAATGACCATTCACAGTACCTGAAACTTTGTTTTCTCTCCCTATGAATCCAAGACTGCTGCTCTCCAAGGCAGTAGGTCGTCAAGTACAAAGACTAAATTAAAGTTTGTTTATATCGTTTATTTTTAAAGAAATTTAAAATACAGTGTAAACATACATCAAAGATATTGTGGCAAATTAGATTAGAAATAACATGAGGTTATTTACATTTTGTATATGTGTGTATATATATACACAAAGTGCAGATAAATACAGAAACACTACAAAATAAACAAAAAATTCAATATGATAATTTACTGACAATCATTTTCATCATATTTATTACTTAACTTGTCATGTTAATGGATGCAAAGAAATTCCTAGTACTAAAATATAATATCTAAATATTCAACTTTTACATAAACTATAGTACCTCAAATTTTAACAGTATATAAATAGGATTCTGAATTTAAAAAACAGTCGTCTTCCCTGACAAACTCCCTATTTATCTGTAAAGGTTTCAGCGCAGAGTTCAAGAAGACTCCTGAAATCATGGCTCTCTATACGTGGTGATACCTCAGATTTTAACAGTGTGCTCTGTAAAAGACAGGTGAGTGAAGATACAGAGGCAGATATAAAACCGCTAACAATGCTGCCACATACTGAACAATGCACATTGCAATTTTAGAGACTGAGTGGATTCAAGGCGAAGCTGGGTTGCTCTCAACCCTGGAAGGTAAAAACCATGGGGAACACTGCTGAGAGGTGGCAGATAATACACAAGGGGAGAAAATGGTCTTCTAGTTAACATGGTATTGGCATCTTCAGCCCACACCCACTTCCAACACTTAAATTCCTCATGTAGACCTATACTTGCACATCTATGGTGATGGAGGATCTATGTTTGTAATCATTGTAAATGGCACCTGCCCTTGGGGATTCCTCAGTAAACAAACAGACTCCATCTCTCCCTATAGTACCAAGAAATAATCAGCTTTGAACTTGGCATCTCTCTCGTGAGTGCCAGGGGAGAAGTGGTGACCTACTACATCCCTACCTCATACAACTGCTTCTAAGCATTGGTCTAGAGAAGATCAGTTTTTTTGCCTGGCTTGTTGTGAGTGCTGTCAGCATTCTTGTTGAGATTCCTTATTTATAACAGTGGATGCAGCTGCACTAAACATTTTTTTTAATCCTATTTATTGATCGGATCCTCTAAAAGTCCATGTCATTCATAAGTCTGGGTTTGTACAAGGTTACCACCAAGTGGGACCTGCACATCTGAAGCAGGAAGATATTGGTAACAATGAAGAATACAATGAATGTGTTCAGGAGATGTGAGACTAGGTAATAAATACCTGATATTGATAAGTCTGTGGTTTAACAGGAGACAGCCAGAATAGGATATATACTATTCAGGAAGGTTAACCTCATTTGTAAAATATGTTTTGATTTTGGAAGATAAAAGGCAAAATTAAATAGCAATTTCTACCCTAAGTGAAAAACCTCTAGTCAAGAGCAAAATAACATTTGGACAATGGTCAAGTCTCTTTACCAGGGGATATATTTTTTAGGTCCCACTCACTGTTTTTAGGTCAGAGTAACAGCTACAAATTAGAAATATATGTTAAAACCAAAGAACAAAATCTGCTCCTAAATTGCTCTGCCTCTAACGTCAGCCAATAAAGTATAAATCAAATTGGGGCTTTAGATGCTAATTCAAGGGGCTCGTTAACAAAAGGAAGGTGTTTGAAGAAAGGCTCTGTGGGTCTCTTCTGCACCAGCATCCACACGGATGATATCCTCTCTCACATCAGACACAGAGCTGAAGGATGAGGCTGGGCGGGAGGTCAGCAGGGACACCTTCACAGGATTAACGCGCCAGGTTTATTTTTCTTACAACACGGTGGAAATTTAGAAAGCATGCCACAACATGTAAAACCAAATATCTAGAATAAGAATAAAAGTCAGTATGTATCTTTATTTTCCCTATTTGGGAACCTGGATCATTGGGGATTGTACCGTAAGGTACTCTTTTTTTTTCTCTCCACCCACTCCTGAAAGAGCCAGCAATCGAGCTATTGTTGAGAAACCTGGTTGTACTCATTTATATTACAAAGCGCAGAGTGCTGACCCAATTAGCAAAACCACGCACATCAAACAAAGAGCAATGGCGCTTCCTCATCCTCCTCATCCTTCGTGGGCGCTACAGGAATACAAGCATTATTTTACTGTTCAGACATATATATTCACAGAGCGGCATAAGCCTTCAGTTGATGGACTAGGTTCTTTCAACTTGGTAGAGTTATGGTACAAAAAGAGTCACCTGTTAAATACATAAATGTTTGCCCTTGGGGATATTTTCACACAACACCCAAGATGACTGACTTAGGCTCATCAACCTCACCTTCATACTGATTATACTGTAACCAGTGATTAGAATCCACAGGTGTGCCTGGAGGGTGTGGATGTAGCAATTCTAACAACTTCACATTGTCTCTGACAAGCTAAGGTTTTATCATTGAAATGCTGTTACACTTTGGAATCTGATCTCCCAATGATTGGCATTACCTTCTTGTGTAATTAATATTGTGATGCAGAGCACATGTTTAGATTTTCCCTCTGCTCATAAACACCTTATCTGCAGGAAATTCATTTCGTGAGAAAAGCAGTTGTAGTCTATCTCCGATATATAGGGTATCCCCCAAAATGTATACACACACTCTGAATAATTATAATGGCAGTGTTTACTAAAATGCATTTCATTTTCAAAATTGAGCTGTCAGCTGTTAAGGTGCGTACACATTTTTGGGGGACAGCCTGTATATAGCCATGACATGCTTACACGTGTACTCGGTATGAAGAAAAAAAAGAACCATCCTCAAAAATCTGTAAGATTAACACTTCAAACAAAAACACGATTTGAAGAAGCACTTTTGTAGCTTGTTTCAAAAAAGGGACCACAGCACGTACTGCCACAGGCACGTCTCACCAGGAGAAAGCGCTCCATGCCACATCCTAGACAGCAAAAGCTTAATTCCCGACTGAAATTAGCTCGCAGACAACTCAGAGGCAGGAACACTCTGGTCTGTGTGAAATACAATGAAGGGTGAGATTTCCTTGTGCAGCAGCAAGTGGAATAGAATTCTGAATCTCTTTTTGGAGTCAGGTTGGTCTATGAAAGAAAATCAATTTGCTTTTAAGAGGTTCTAATCTGGTAGGATGCCAGACGATGGCCAGGGTGGTCACAGTGAGAGCGCTGTATAGACTAAGGGACTGGCAGGTACTGCGGAAAGACAACCTTCTGTTCCAGCAGAGGGTAGTCGAGGGTGTTGGCAAAGCTATTATTACTAATAAAGGCCACCAAGGGTCTAGAGCGCAAGAAGCTCTAGCAACACCCTATTATTGTGTACAAAAAATGAACAGCAGGAGGAAAGCAAAAAAAAGAAAGAAAGAGAGAGAGAGAGAGAGAGAGAGAGAAACATTTATCAGATTTTTTCATTATATTACTAATTTTTATAACATTAAATAGTTTTTCATTCCAATGCACTGATATTTATTTCTGGTTGTGACCCCACCTACTGTTATTCTCTTTATTTTTTAAATTCTACTCTATGTTTCCATTTTTAATTTTAAAAGCATAAACGCTCCAAGGCATAGTGTGTACATGCATATGTGAGTATATATTCTATTAACTCTGGAGACATTAATTTAAAGTAGAAGAGACTGAGATTACAGATTATAATATCACATAAAAAGAGTTTTATACAGTCAATACCTGAGTGCCTGTACAGTGGAGAACTCTGAAGTAACAAGTAAAATATAGCCCAGTGGGCCTGCGCTGTGGCAGTTAAATGACAGGTAACCAGCTTTTTGAAATCTTGAGAAGAAAGGCTCTTTGCCACATGCAAATATTTATAGAAATAATATATTAGAATTACTGAAATAGAATTATTGAAATAACAGAAATGCGTGACCAGCTGTTGACGGCATATATAAATGGGTAGTAAATTTCTATGCTCTATAAATTCAGTGAAATTCCTAATAAAGACTGTAAATTGAATGGCATTTTAAGAAATCATGTACACATTTTATTCCTGCTAAAAATGATAAAACCTTTAAAAATGTTGTGGTTCAAAATAATTTAAGAGTCCTGTACCTTTATGCTTACATTGTTTCAACTAAGCATAGACTTTAGAAGGCATAGCTTCTCTACTAGTATCTTAAAAATTTCTTGATCATTTGATGAGAGAATTTCTCATCAGCCAAAATTAGGTATCAACAGAATTCTTTGACACTTTAATGTTACAAGTAGAATTTAAGTTGTACACCTACACTTTTACATTGTTTTCCTCACACGGACGGTAATTATGCTTTTGTGATGCTATTATGATGCTACTATGTGCATATAATTTATCAGTATTTGTATGTAATGTAGTAAAATTTCATAGAAATCCCTAAGTAATAAAGGTAGTTTTACACATCCTCTAAACCAGGGCTCAGCAAACCACGATCCATGAGTAACACTGGACCTGCTGCCTGTTTTTGTATGATCCAGCAGCTGAAAATGGTCAAAGAGGACTATTTTGTGTCAAGATAATTATGTGATCTTCAAGTTTCAGGGTGGGTCCATATATAAAGTTGTGTTGGCTCACAGCTTCCCCGATCTGTTTCCTTATTGTCTATGGCTGCTTTCTGCTACGATGGCAGTTACGTATTGTGATGGAGACTATAGGGCTTGCAAAAGACACAATATTCACTATCAGGCCTTCACAGAAATAGTTCGCTGGTCCCTACTCAAAGCCTATGGAAGGCGTCTGGATGCGGGATGGAGTGTTTCCAGTGGACTCAGTGTATGACTTATTTTGGCTTCATTTACAGGCATTATATACATCATTGCTTTTGAGTATTATCATCTTCCTTGGTAAACAAAAATAAAGTTACATGAAAAAAAAAACACTTATTTCCTTGAAATGTTTAGGACCAGCAAAACAATCATATATAAAAGCAGTATATTTTTTAAAGAAAAAAATCATAAATGAACAGTTTACATTACATTTTTAAGTAACGATTTCAAGGTTTCTCAGAGAATACCAGACAGTGAAGGGCAGATCCCAAAATCCTTATATCAAATTTCTAGTTTTCAAATTTCTGGGATATAGTGCTTATACAGTATTTGAGATTCTCAATTGTTATGGAGTCATTGTGGAAACTTATCAAAAAGAAAGATATTTTAAGACAAGAAACGGGTAAAAAAATAATAAAAAGAATGGCAAACAATTTAAACGTTTTTTTTTTTCCTTTTCCATTAATAGGGAGCTACATAGTCTGCTGGTGTAGGACTTGATAGAAATTGTCTGTTTTCATTTAGTGGGCTGATTGCCATATCTGTGTCAGATAAAATCATAGCACGTATTACTTGTTACCATGGATACCATGAAGCTACTGCCATCCACTAAATAGTATTAGAGGAAGACAACATAATTTTCTGGGACTAGTCCTGTTTTGCCTTCATAAGTTGCCTTCAACCATCCTGGTTCCACTGATGGGTACACTAGAAAAAAAAAAAAAGTTAATGTGACTCACTCAGCATTAGCTTCAAATAATTATATACACAAATGGGTAAGAATCCACCCACATCAGTCTGCATGAATCCACAAAACAATGTCACAGCTTCTTTCAAGATGGAAATGTCCTTTGCATTCTTATAATCAATCAGCCAATTTCTCCCATCCTCCCTCCACCCTAGATCCCGAGCTTCCCCACCCGAACCCCGCCCCCCCCCGCCCCCTCTACACACACACACTCACAAACATATAGGGGAGGAAGCTGGGGTCCAGAGGAATCTGATGTGTTCATTGGTGCAGGTCATGAGGGGCAGGGCCTCACTAGATTCTGAGTCTCCTGGCTTCCTCTTTAGACTCTGATCTCTACATGATCCCTTAAGGGGAGGCGCTGGGTGCACTTACCATTAGAAAAGAGCGCCCCCTGTGGGAAGGAGAGCTCGTGGCTGTGCTCTGCTTGACAGGAGTACATGGCTTTGGCTTGGCTGAAAGAGTAAAAGGCGAGTTGTAAAAACCACAACTCAAAATAAATACATGTATAGTTCAAATTATCTTAAAAATGATATTAGTTTCTAGTTGTAATCGGAGAATAATATACACAAAAGGCACATGTAAGTGTGCAAAGTGCATTTTCCACAAACTGAACACAGGTATGTGATCAGAAAACATGGAAAGCAAACCAAAAGCTCATCTAATGTTTGCAGGCAATGCCTCCAAGTGTAACCACAGCCTAAGTTTGTTTTAAAGAATGCCATTATTTAATTGTTGGTAAATAGGCTGTTTTGCAGCTATACCCTAAAGTTTTTTTCCCTCCACTTTAATTTCAGATTAGCAGAGGTGAGATCCCCAAATTAAAATGTCTAATAAGTATAGTAAATGAGTTAAGTAAGCATGATGGATAAGTTGATAGTAAATGGCCAACAACAGTGGCCTCCTTGTCAGGGCGATGATGGGGACAGATAGAGGCTTTGCAAACCAGGGGGCATACCCATCTCTTAGGAAGGGAAGCCAACACTCAGCTCCCAACAGCTGGATCATATGGGAATTCAGGTTCCATACAGCCACATACTCTGGTTTCCCAAGAGAAGCCAGAATTTCAGAGTTTTCTGTGAGTTCTATTTAAAAGCACTTGAGCCAACACTAAAAGGCCACCATCATCTGAGGCCGCTAATCAAATCATCAGCCAAGTCATCTTTACTCTGCAACATCCATTTATCTTGGTAAGACGGGAACTCCTCCCGGCTCCACTTACTTCTCAGCATCTCCACCACCCACGTCCACGCCAAAATCATGTGTGGTGTGACTCACTGACTGGCTTCCCACCACCCTAAATCCTCTAGGCTTCCCGTTCTGTCGCCTTGCGATCTATTCTCTACAGGGAAGCCAGAGGGCAGCTTGGAAAAGGTTCTGAGGATCATGCTATTTCCCAGAGAACAACCCTCTAATGCAGCGGTTCTCAACCTGTGGGTCGTGACCCCTGTGGCGGTCGAACGACCCTTTCGCAGGGGTCGCCTAAGACCATCCTGCATATCAGATATTTACATTACGGTTCATAACAGTAGCAACATTACAGTTATGAAGTAGCAACGAAAATAATTGTATGGTTGGGCCACAACATGAGGAACTGTATTTAAAGGGCCAGAAGGTTGAGAACCACTGCTCTAATGGGTGACCAACTCTAGCTCCATTCCACACACAATCGGGTGCCTGTCAGTTCTCTTGCCTCTGTTCACCTGCTGGGCTCCAGTCCCCTTAGCCCAGTGATGGCGAACCTTTTGAGCTCGGCGTGTCAGCATTTTGAAAAACCCTAACTTAACTCTGGTGCCATGTCACATAGAGAAATTTTTTAATATGTGCAACCATAGTAAAACAAACACTTATATTTTTGATATGTATTTTATATATTTAAATGCCGTTTAACAAAGAAAAATCAACCAAAAAAAATGAGTTCGCGAGTCACCTCTGACACGCGTGTCGTAGGTTCGCCATCACTGCCCTAGCCCTTTCACCTCCTCAAACATGCCAAACTCATCCCCGCTCAGGCCAGCTGAGCCCTGGCTCTGTGATGATTTCCTCTTGATCCTCAGGGGCTATGCACTTCTGTTCCTCTTAAATTCCCTGAGCTTTGCTGAAGGTCATGTCTTCCCTGTGCACACTCTAAAACAGCTGCCCCGGCAATTACCAGACCCTCAGAAGACTGCACAGCAGCAGTATCTGTTAGTCTGTTATCTTCTCTTCTAATCGGAATGTAACCTCCATGAGCCATGCCTGAAGCCTGGTAGTAAAACTCATTAAATATTTCTTGAAGAAATGAGTAGGAAAAAAAAGAAGAGGGTGAGGGGGGGCGAGGAATGCTCTGGGCTCTTTTTCTACCAGACGAGTCCTTTTTAAAAGTCAAGGGGCCCTTGTCTCTCTTTCCTTTGGCTCCAGCACTTTATCAGCAGACAAGCATCAGCAGGACTTGTCACGCAGATCTCTTAAAGCACCAGCGTTACATGATTTCTTTTCCCCGTTTGGAGCCTGACCCTGAGTCTATCCCAGGGGTGGGCAAACTTTTTGACTCGAGGGCCACAATGGGTTCTTAAACTGGACCGGAGGGCCGGAACAAAAGCATGGATGGAGTGTTTGTGTGAACTAATATGAATTCAAAGTAAACATCATTACATAAAAGGGTACGGTCTTTTTTTTTTTAGTTTTATTCATTTCAAACGGGCCGGATCTGGCCCGCGGGCCGTAGTTTGCCCACGGCTGGGACTCTAACCTCTACACTTCCAGGGGAGGGTAGGTCATTGAGACCAGGGTTCCCAAATGGATATCTGAAGACTGGAAAGCTTATGGAGGAAAACTCCGGCCCTGCCCCCAGCGTCGGCTTCATAGGAGGTGAGGCTCAGGCTGTACTTTAGAAAGTTGGCTAGGGGAGCCCGCAGCAGCCGGGCGGGGCAATGACCACCAGCCCACATCCCAATGAAACGTGGCTTCATTAAGGGAGAACTGAGGAATGCAGGCACCCAGAGAAGACAGGGCACTGCCCTAAAGAAGAGCTGTGTGTGCGTGTGTGCACGCATGCGTGTCGGCACGCACATGGGTGTGTTGGTTGACATGGGTGGGAGGTGGGGGTAGAGGATGGTGCCAAGTCCTTAAGACTTCTAAGAATCAGAAGAAGGTCATCTCAAGTAGGAAAAAAATATTAGTTTTTTTCCTATTAATCTTCTAGTCAAATATAATCATTTGATCCGATATATGGTATAATTAAGGGTTGTAGAGCCATTTCTTTAAAAATATGTAAGTATTTTATAAGAATTCAAATTTCCTAACAGTAGCAATTTCCTCCAATGAACACAAAGTCTTATTGCTTTGAGTCCTTAAAATAAATTAAAAGATGCATAAGGACACAACGTCCAGAGTTATAGAAATGATTAAGGTATGACAATACTTACAATGTTATAATTTTTGAAAGAGCACTTGAAAAGGCAACTAAACTATTTTTATTAATGCTTCAGCCATCTGATAAGATTACGTGGCGGGAGGAGGCAAGCAGAATAATTATATCACAAAATAAATGGATATTGTTAAATGTGTCAAAAATACACAGTACAAAAAATACTTGTCATGACTTCTCAATTATCTGTGCGTGTGTCTAGACAGGTGTAATTTTCTCTGCTGAGCTCCGTAACTGCAGGTGTTAACTCAGCAGAGAGCTCTGATGATTTAATGCAGACTTCTGTGGCAGTGAAGTTTCCTCTCCAAGTGCTAATGCTGCCTCTGTTACTGCCTCGGTGCACTGAAGAGGATGCGAAATAACACTGTCAGCTACCAAGTCTCTCTTCATCCTTTGCAAAGGATTCTGAAATCCCTGCTTCTTCGTGCATGGCAGAGTAAGATAATAACATCTGCTGTCCTGAAAGCCATTTCTTCCCTCTTCCTGTGGAAGGTGATCTGAACACAAGTCCCAGTCCAATGCCAAATGCTGCCTAATGCTGATGGGCAGATTTACAAACGTTTGATAGGGTCAATGCTTACTTAACTATAAGCAAAATAAAAAAGTCACCAAAAAGAAACTGATACGGTGTTTTCTGGCGAGTCACTTAACAATGATAAACACACACACACACACATGCACTCCCTCACACTTTCTGGTTGCTGAGAATTTCACTGCTGAAAGAAGTGGACATGCACACAGATAATATTTTTTTAAAATCCCAAGAAGTAAGATATGTCTGAGGGGTGAAAACCAGTGTCCTCTTCCAATGGTCTCCTTGACTTTTTGCAGCTTCTACCATGTTGATGATACCTGCTCCTTCTGATCATTCCTTCACATTGCTCTTTGCTAGACCTTTAAACGAAACCATTCCCCAAAGACCAATCAATGCTCAGGCATTTTTCCTGTACACTCAGCAAGCCCCACCTTCATCTACACAGAGAAACTGAGAAGTCTCTCAAATGGCAAACTCCACACCGTCTACCAGCTTCTCAATGTTCCTCAGGCTCCTCAAACATTATGGCCAGAACTTTCCTCTCTTCCATGTAATCACAGGCTGAGACCAGAAACTAAACTTCCATTGTTTCTGACACTCAGTCTCAAAGACTTGGAATCTTCATTCCCAGTATCAAAGCAGTTGCCAAATCCTGATCCTATCCATAAAGTTCTTATTGCTTTTCATGCTTTTGTTACTGCTCTATGTAAGACCTTTAAATCTCACCAATTCCATCCTACATGGTTGACTATACTTTCCTCTTCACAACTCCTAGAAAATCCACTTGGAATGATCTGTTGGGTGTATCACTGATTAGATCACCCCTTTGCTCAATGATTCCCAACGCGCCTGTGGGGGCTCCCAGAGATGTTACTTTTCTGTTGCTCAGGATCATGCATTAGAACAGCGGTTCTCAACCTGTGGGTTGCGACCCCTTTGGGGGTCGAATGACCCTTTCACAGGGGTCGCCTAAGACCATCAGAAAACACATATATAATTACATATTGTTTTTGTGATTAATCTCTATGCTTTAATTATGTTCAATTTGTAACAATGAAATTGGGGGTCACCACAACATGAGAAACTGTATTAAAGGGTGGTGGCATTAGGAAGGTTGAGAACCACTGCACTAGAATCTCCTTATGGGTCTCTTCCACAAACATAACTAGTCTTCCTACTACTTACTACTGGTTCTAGCATTCTTCAAGGTCCAATTCTAGGGTTACCCTGAGTTCCCTAGAAGGACCAGGAAATAAGCACTGTAGGAGCTTACTAAGGGAAATGCTTTCAACTTTTTGTTGTTCAGCTGTATTGAACGGTACCAAAAAGTACCAGGTAACTGTTAAAGAGTTAATGTTTAAGTATTATCAATATGTTAATTAGATGCTTGAATAGCTTCAGTAGTTTCAATAAAGGTTATCATAACAATAAGTTGTTATTGTAAAGATCATCTGTGGAGAACCTGCCAAATAGATTGCTTTGTATTTGAAATTTACAACAACTAGGCAAAAACAGAATTGTGACTTTCATTTTATAGAAACAATAGATTTCTTCTGTAACTCCAAGATTATACACATAGGGAGTGGTGGGACCAAGAACTGAATGTGAAGTCCACTGTGTTCCTCGGTCCCTGACTCTTGGTGAAAAGTTACAACATGGTCCACAGTGCTGTTGACAAAGACCGTGATTGCTGACCGTCATCAGAAGTTGATTTATAGCAGTATTTAGAATGTAAAAGCATATTAAAAATGCACAGACTGATTGTTGAACATTTGAGGATATCTTTATGATACGACAGCATTATGATTTACTTCCATAGCTTGCTGTTTTAAAGCTCTGTGGGATCATCTCTGATTACAGGACTTGAGTTATCTGTTTAGAGCTTCCTAATAAAAGGGCTCCATCTAGTGGAGCAATTCAACCATGTAGCTGCACAGACAAGTACAAGGTTAAATCCCTCCCACTAAGGCCTAAAAATGATGACAGTTTCACAGATAAATGACATTGGCTCTGATGGGCATGTTGCCTAGTCTTCACCATGCCTTGATAAAGAAGGAAGAAGTTAAAGATGCTAAGCAGAGGTAAGATCCATGCAAATAGTCTGCAATCTGCCATATGAACACAATGCACTGACCAACATCCTTGAAAGATACCAACTCTGGGGACTTTAAAGCAATAATATGTGAGGGCCTTTCTAGGCTTTGGAAACAATAGCAACAACAACAATAAAACAGCTTCTAGAAAAAGTTCTATAATTTCAAAGTCAGGTATGTATTTTTGAAAAATTTCCACTAACTGTTACCAAAGGAGTCTCTGGTGTGCAAAGGGTTAAAGCAACTTGTGTCTTCTGGAAGACCTGTTTTTTTAGAACTCTTCCTTTATGAAGATTTTAGCAGATGAAGCATCACCTTCACAGTCTGAGACACTAAGTGCTGTTCTCAGACATGACCTCTTCCGCATGAAGAGACAGTGAATGTGAACTTGACCATCTGCAGAACTGGGGGCAGAGCTGTCAAAGATGACCCACCATGTCCACACAAGGCAACAACCTCACCACTATTTTATTTATTTATTTTACTTTGTTTTGAAGACTTACCGCCCAGAAGAAACTGGCTTAACTGAACCAACATTTTCAAACAGTTGGGCTTTCGCTGCCACACTGAAAAATAATTTGACAATGCAAGTTTCATTAAATCAACTAGAAAATCATTCGGTTCAAAATGAAATTCAGAGTTATCAGTTAATCAAAACAAAAGTGATTACTTAAGAACTGTCCCCAAAATTTGACCTGACTTTTCATTGTTTTAAGGTTTAATGTGGGAGAAAGTTTCAGCTCTGATCTCCAGCTCATGGAGTATCAAATTGTAATAAATCTAAAGCTACCCTTTCTGGGGATCTTGCTGTCCTCATTTTTTCTACCTCAGAAAAGTGGGAGCAGTAAAAAGGAACATTTTCTCCCTACTTTGCTCCAGGCAACAATAGTATAGACTGCTATAAAGCCACAAGAGAAAAATCAAATCTACATGACAAAAGAATTGTTCATTCTGATGGCTAAGACAAAACTACAGTTCCCATAAAATAGGAAGAGATAACTCTGAAAATATGGCCAATAAATAAATTTATGGAATCAAATCTTGTTTCAAATCTTGGGGGAGGTGGGGCATGGTCTGTAAAAAGGTGATAAAATTAGGTCGAGAGTGAAAAAAATGAAAACTAAGCCACCTTCAGTAATTAGAAATGTTTCTACCTATACCAGAAGAGATATCAAAGTCCTTGGTATTCTAGATTTTTTAAATCTATTTTATTTCTTTGAAAAATTCTCTCAGAACCTGACACAGAACATACGCTCTCTCATTAATCTCATCTTTTACTATCAGTAAAATAACAAAACAGAAGCTCTTCTCTTTCCCTCATAAAGGATGGAGTTTATGTTTTCCTATCTCCCTTGACATATTGGCTTAAAATTTAATTTCCTTAGTGGCTAGAACCACACACACTGGGGAGCAGATAGACTTACCAATATACTTATCTATATCATGACAGTTAAATTTCTGACCCAGAGAGATAATATGTGTTAAACACACTCGGAAACCAAAAGGTTTGTGTCAGAGAAAGGGAGGAACAAATGAATTTAAGACACTTTGTATGGAAACAATCTCAGTAAAATGTCTTACTGGACTTTTGAGGGAAAATTTAAATGTCAGAAATCCCACAATATTGAACATGGGCATAGTATAGTATGTAGAGCACAGATTCAAGCGAGGAACCCTGGGTTAGGATCCCAGCTCTACACTTACTAGCTGAGGGTATGTGGATTGGTTCCTTAAATTCTCTTTTTAAAATTTTATTAGTATTTTTAATTGAAGTAACTCGATATGCAATATTGTGAAATCCTTAAATTTTCTGAGTATCAATTCCCATCATCTCTAAAATGAGGTTTATACAACCCACTGGATACAGTGGATGGTAACATGTGTCAGGGGGCCTAGTGATACCCAATACAGCACTTGGAAAGGCTCAGCAAAAGCCTCTTTGGATTTTGTTTAGTTGTTTATGCAGGTTCCCATTTTCTCCTCTTTGACCCCCTTTCTGCTCACATCTATGTGCCCTACCTTCTCAGTCTCTACACTTCTGGGTCGTTTCTTTTGATTAGAAGGACTGACTTCTTTTGCCTATCAAAGTTCCTTGTTGTCTAAGAGCTTGTTTAAATCAGTGAGTTCTCAGACAGGAGACATATGACCAGGAGGAGAGAAAGCCAACCTTCACAGCCAGAAAGCGGTTTATTTCTAACAGAAAGGTTGGGCGGAGGGAGGAGGGACTGTCATCTGGGCCTGGCACCACAGTCTCCTCAGCTGACAAGTAGATGTTCAGCTTTTATAGGAAGGTTTCTAGCTTTGGAGCCCATAGCTACTCTATTATACATCTACTAGAGGCCCGGTGCACGATATTCATGCACTGGGGGGACTGGGGGGGAGGAAGGGTGGGTCCTTCAGCCAGGACTGTGCCCTCTCGCAGTCTGGGACCCTCGCTCCTTACCGCCCACCTGCTCACTGCTCCTTACCATTTGGCTCACTGCTCTTTCCTTAGTGCTGCCACGGAGGCGGCAGAAGAGGCTCCTGCCACCTCCACTGCCATGAGCCCAGCTTCTGGCTGAGCGGCACTCCCCTTGTGGGAGCGCACGGACCACCATGGGGCAGCTCCTGCATTGAGCGTCTGCCCCCTGGTGGTCAATGCGCATCATAGCGACCGGTCTTTCTGGTCGTTCCGCCATAATGGTCACTTAGGCTTTTATGATATAGATTTTCATGTCCTTAAATTAAGCCTTAGTCCTGCATCTAAGGAAAGTACTTGATGTACCTGCCCATGAGTAGTTTAGATATATCCTAAGGCTACTGTAGCTTCCACATCACATTTAGAAGAGAGCAGGGTCCTACAGACGTTGGCTACATCCACTCTCCAGATGAGACATTCAGTGGTGGAAGTGCCAAGGGCTCCGCTGGACACCTCAGCACCATGCACCCCCTGGCAGACCCAGCAAACTCACTCTCACTTACATGGAGCCCGGTCGTTGGTAGCCGTTGCTGGAGGCCGTGTCTAGCCTTAACCTCCTGCACATTTTTGGAGGCAGGTCTGGGTTTGGTGGGGCTTTAGGCGTCTCTTTGGAACCTATGGAAGTTAAGCTTTGAGTGGAACCGCTATAGCTCTTGTTTCCTAGAAAAGAAAACCCAAAAGAAAAACAGGCAAGGTGTTATTAGACAAAATAATAGCAATAACACAGCCCATGCGCCTAACAAAAGGAAGCATTCTTCTTTGAGCCCAAATGAGACGGTACAGAATGTTCCTCAGCACGGCTGCCCATCACCCAGGGAGATCAGAATCGACAGCAATTACAAAGACATCACCTCACGGAGATAGAGAGAGCCAGGGGAAAAGTCTCAGCGCAGAGGAGTCTGAAAAATCCCAGCTCAGGAACAAACTAGATAAGCATCATTCGTTTCTGCCCCATTAACTTCTCCCTTGATTAATCACGCGGAACAATCCGGCAAGTGGCACGGAGATAATGACATCTTGCGTAAGCTCCACTCTGGCTCACCTTCAGCGGCAGCGAGGGACCTGAGGAAGGTAGCTGAGGCTCTTTTCTGTCCTGAAGTCCCATGAGACCCTTTCTTGGCCAGGTCTCTGTGTGGGGAAACGTCCCCTGGGCTGGTGACGGAGGCCACGCTCTGGCAATCTGACTCTGCATCCGTTTTGGTTGCATCTTCTCTAGAACTGGATTCAGGACTAGTTGTCCAGAGACCAAGACTTTTCTGTCCATTGGACGGTGACGGGGATGCAATCCAGGGAATCCCTCCGGACTTCTCCCTGGGCTGGCAGGAGGTGGACTTTGTCGTGCTGTTTTGTTCAGAGGAGTGAGAGGAGAGGGACTCAATGCTCCCCATGGGTGTGCTGGCTGGGCTGCTGCTATAGGAGTCGCCTGAGCAGGAGCGGGAGAGAGAAAAGGACAGAGGCTGTCTGTTGAGAGTAGCACCACCAAAACCCTTCCATTCTCCAACTCACACAGGGCTTGTGGCCACCTGATCCCACCAAAGTGATGGGCCTTCACCTGGCATGGAGAACTGTCCTCAGTACTGGAGACAGCCTTTAAGAGATGCTTTTGAACTTGGTGAATGCATTTTTCAATACTATTCAAGGGGGATGTTATATGTTCCCTGCCCCTGTGAAATGATGTTACTCCTTATGGCATGAGCGGGCTGACCTGAATTCAGACAAAATTCCGAAACAGGACTCACAAGTAAGAAAAATGATTCCATGATGATATTACAAAACAATCAATGAAAGGGATATTAAAGACATATTTCTGCCTTTTTTTTTTTTACTTTTCTGATCTTAGGTGGTTCTGAACTACAATGCATCCGAGTCCTCCTCCATTCAAAGGCACCGTTAAATGTCAGCTGCAAATTACAAGCTGCTCTCAATTTAAAAGAGAGGACTTTTCCCATTTCCTGTTAAGAATATAGCAATGTAAGAAACTGGCTGTTTAATTGGGTGTATTTTTTAATGTTCCTAAAAGTAAGGTATACGAAAAAAAAATCAGAGAAACTGTAATGAAGTGTTCAAATATGTCTAAATTAAAAAGTAGTGGTTTCTATTAAATATTGATTGTGGAAAAATTGGGGGGTTTAGGGATAAGAAATAAAATGAAAATGGCCAGTTTAACACATCTTATGGGCTCAAGCTGCCTCCACCTCTTCCTGGGGCCTGGCTCAGAGCAGTAAGTTAGTGATAATGTGTGGTATAATTTCTCTTATTTTCTTTCTCTCTTTGAGATACTTTGATACCCAAGAGATGATGCTTTAAGAACATAATGTGAGAGGAAGAAAGAAAAGGCTTCAGCCAGTCTTTCTCTGGCTTTCTTCTCTACACTCTGACAATAGAACAAAAGCTTCCACAAAGTAGCACCTCATGTACTTAATCACAGTTGCAGGAAAAGGTGGTGGTGGTGGGGGAGCATTGAGCAAACTAATTATTTCCTTTGTAGCGGTAATAAATTTGCTTGTCCAAAGTACCTTGCAACTCTACTGACAGAGAACATACAAATATTGGAGGTGGGGAGGTTTTGGAGTGATAGCATCAGTGAGAACCACTTCTATTTCTACCTAATTAGCGGCAGAAAGGCTGGATTAAAGAATGGAGAAAGCCTCTCCCCAAGGCCGGCCCACTTACTGTCAGGTTCTGCCAAGCACGGAGTGTACCTCCCTCTGGGCTTCCGGGAGCCTGTGGAGAGGCAGATTGCTCGTGTCCTTCGGGATCCAGACCGAGACTGAGGCTGAGGAAGAGGGATGCTTGGGTCTGGGGCGGTGTGAAAAATCTACCCGGAAGAACAATGGGCCACAGTTAACAAAAGGGTGAAACTGCCGTTTTCATCATAAAAGAAGCTTTGAGACTTATATGCTACTTAATCTTAGAATTCTATGCTACTTCATCAGTTGTATGCAAGAGATGCTTGAGACCATAAAATAAATAAAGTGAATCCCAGAATAATTATAAACTTTCTTTCCCATTTACACTGAGTAATGTTTCTTCTCTGGGTTTTCCTTTTTTATGCTTCCCCAACAGTGAAGTTCAGATTTCCCAATAATTGTAAGAAACCTTTCAAATAGGGACAAATGTCAATGTTGAGACACATGGATTCTTTTCGTGTGATAACTGTCTTTCCCCCTTCATGCTAAACAGAGCCTTTGGGTTGTACCATTTCCCCAGCAGAATGGACCCACTTCTTAAGAGAAGGGGCCGACATGCTGCTGGTTCTGATGGTCAAGAAATGTGCCAGGTCTGAGCACAGCTACAGGAGGCAGCACGTGCTCCTTGGCTGTGAGGAAGCCTCCAGCCTTAGGTAGGTACTGGGGAGGGACCCGGGGGCAGGAGAGAGGCACAGTCATTCTCTCACAAGGACTAGATCTGACACAAAGGCATCACAAAATGTTTAGACCTTCAATGGTTGAATCTGTTAATAACGCAATCAATTTGGCTTCCCCAATTTCCAATTTCCATAGTTATTCGAAGATCCCATTCTTATAAAGTCACCCTCCCGGGGGACTGGATAGAGAAGACTTCAAGACTCTGTTCCAGTTTTTTTTCTTTGGTTTTATTTAGAATTATCACCTCTGCTGTATAATTAAGAGTCTAATTCCAGAGAGATTAAAAGGTTAAAATAGACTTAACCACAAAGTTATTCTAAAGTATTATCTGAATATGTGCAAAAACCTGATTATATAAGTGCTGTGGAAGAAAATCTTTAAAGGTAAATGATGGAGAAGGAAAGGAGACCATCAGGCCAGAAGGTTTTGAGGAGGATTTAAAAACTGAACAAGATAAAGGAATATCAGAGTCCTCACGAAGAACTAATTTATACAAAATTTACAAGACTGACATTATACGAATCTGACTTCACAATGTGAAGCTCACAGATGATGCGAATGAAAAATCGAGATGATACGAATGCAACATACAAAATTTGATACTTCCACCTGAAAATTCAGCCTACCTTTTCATAGTGCTCTATCAGAATTTCAACCACAATATTCTGAAACTTAATATTCATCATGGCAGCCACAGTTTCCTCCTGTGCTCTCATGAGAGTGGGGCCAAATATGACACCGAGGTTTGAGACAGTCATGAGATTTTGTTGGCTATGTAGTGACACTCTGCAAACAAGAGCAACAAAAATATCTTAAGTTAAACGTTTAGTAATTATAAAATGTTCTCAACTACCAAATTCGTGACATAAATAAAATGTAAAACATTCCATTACAGGCTAATTTTTCCAAATAATCAGGTTCAGTCACTTGCAATTGGCATTAATGAGTATAGCCAAAAATGACATAAAAAGTTAACATAGCCAAAGTAAAACATAATTACAAAAGATAATATATTGAAGAGGAAAAATTTTGATTTCGTGAGTGCAATCACCCTAAAGAGATAGATTATTGACCCTTTGGTATTTTCTACAGGGCTATACTTCTTTTAGAACAGATGGTTTAGAGGAGGCTGGCTGTAATTTTATTTGGATTCACCAAACATACTAGTGTTATTGAAAATCTACTGCCATTGCATTTAACCCTCCCAGGAAGTCAGGTTTTCCTATTGTACAGGTAAAAAAAACACAAAGCTCCTAAAGTAAAAATGATGTATTTGAGGTCACAGCAAATTAGGAATAGAGATGCTCTTTGAATTTGGGTCTCCTGAATACAAGTCAAAGGCTTCCTTGAGCTCCCCACATAAGACAACTGGCCAATGCATGTTTCCATCCTTCCTTCTTTCCTTCCAACCATCTTTCTAAGGCAGCGGTTCTCAACCTGTGGGTCGCGACCATCAGAAAACACATATAGCATATTAGATATTTACATTACAATTCATAACAGTAGCAAAATTACAGTTATGAAGTAGCAATGAAAATAATTTTATGGTTGGGGGTCTCCACAATATGAGGAACTGTATTAAAGGGTCGCGGCATTAGGAAGGTTGAGAACCACTGTAAGGCTTCCCTGAGTGTTTCTGTAGTGCTGGCCACTGTGCTGGCAAACAGTAAGAAGAGGAAACGGGAAGAGAAAATAGGAAGAGGAAATCATTGCTGGAAATGAAACAAAAAGCCTGTAATTATTGACCTGAGTAAAGTAATCTTGGTAGCTATCAAGGATGACTCTGACTAATTAACTAATTTGGAAACTGGATATATTCTTAAGAGGAAAAGAAACCTCATTCATTTGACCACTCTCCTAGGTTAACCACTACCTTTTCTCTGCTACTTCCAGCCAGGTTTTTAGAATGGAAAGTTCTAGGAAGGAGCGTAACACACAATATTATATTTATATCGGCATATGCATCACTAACTACATCCTAAAACCAAAAGTAAACTGTTATGGGGAATCCAGGATGTTGGGTTATCCACGCAATTCCTAGTACAGGACAGGACATGTCCCACTGAATGAAATGTCCCCTGTGCCCAAGAGAGAACTATCTAAGAAGACTCTTGGTTAGACTCAGAAGAGTTTCATTCCAAGTTTCCTTCTTGTATAACCCAATGTTAAATACTGATTGTGTAATATATATTAGAGAATGTTCTAAGAAAGTAGTCTGCAAAGACAGTGAGTCTATCTGGAATCAAAGTATGGATCCATCCAACTTGGAAGTGGGGTGTAGTCAGCCTAGTTATTTAATATCTTTAGGCTTCAGTTTCCTCATCTAGTAAGTATAGCAACACTTATGAATGAAATAATCAATTAAATTAAGTGAAATAAGATCTCAAAATAATATCCTTCCTGTAATTAAATTGGCTTTAGGAACTACTGCTAAAATATAAAAGTTCTTGGTAATGTAAGTAAACTGGACAATGATTAATATTAATCTCACTGAAAATACATTTAGAAATCCTAAAAATGTGCTCTATTTTGAAAAGGAGAGTTGATGACTATGTCAGAAGAGACAGAATATTTTGAAGACCAATTTACTCTTCACTGAATTTTCCGTCTGCTGGGCTCCTGAGTTAACACAGACCCTTCTCACTCGAATTTTATCCATTTCTGCACCTTACTCCCTCAACTCCTATTGCACTTCTGAATATTTAAAGTTAGAATATTTAAAGTTAGACATCCAATTGCACTTCTGAATATTTAAAGTTAGAATCAAAGAAGAACCACAGATGGCCTTGTTTTAAGAAAAAAAAAAAAGGATCATCAGAAAAGAAGTAATCCTCTATAATAAAAGCATAATATGCAAATTGTCCCCTTGACTGGGAGTTCGACCAGGGGGCAGGGCTGGCCGGCCAACTGAGGGAAGGGAGGCCTGGGCCAGCAGCAGGCAGCTGGGGGAAGGGAGGTCCCAGCCAGCAGCCAGCAGCTGCTAGGGATCCTACCCGTGCACGAACTTCGTGCACTGAGCATCTAGTGATTTATATAACATCTCAGAGCTAATTAATGGAGATTTGGAATGAGTCATTAAGTTGTTGTTCCTTTAGGCCAGTGACTAATCCAAGTCACAGGTCTTAATTTTTTTTTTTTTCTTAAGCCACATAAGGTTGCTAGGGACCAAGAGTGTTGTTAGCTGTTTATAGTTTACCCATGTCATAAGGTTGCCAGGGACCAAGAGTGTTATCAGTTGTTTACAATTTACTTAAGTCATTAAAAAACACATTCTACTATACAAAAAAACACTAACTAGAAAAGATGCATGCACTCCCATGTTCACTGTGCACTATTTATAGTAGCCAAGGCATGAAGACAACCGAAGTGTCCACTGATGGATGAACAAATAAAGAAATTATGGTATGTATCAACAATGGAATTTTACCCAGACATAAAAAAGAATGAAATTTTGCCATTTATGAAAATATGGAGGGATCCCAAGAGCATGATGCTGAAAACGAAATAAGTCAAACAGAGAAAGACAAACACCTTATGATCTCCCTCATATGTGGAATGTTAAAGAACAACAACAAAAAAACCCACACAAAAAGCTCACAGATATAGAGGATGTGGGGTCAGGTGTGGTGAAAATGTGTGAACTGTTGTTTTCTAATTGAATAAAATATTTTTTAAAAATAGAGACTTTATAAAAGTAGTTTCAAAAAGTCAATAAACAAAAAAAACAGAGAAAGAAAAAAAAGAAAAGAGCCAGGAATGGTGGTAAAGGATGAATAAGGAAATTTTAAGCACTTTTCTATGGCCAGATACCCTGCCCTGCTATTCCTTGTTATCAAAACAACACACATTCAAATTAAGGGTGAAGCCTGTGTTCGTCTAATACTTTGGGTAATTAAGCAATGACATTCATGTCAATTTAAAAAACACAATAAAAAAGACTTTACTAGAAAAATAGCTTGAATACAACAAGAGAATGACCAATAAATACAGTGTGGTTAAATTTCATAAAGAGGTTATACACAATTCAAAAACATAATTTAAGACTAATTCAGACCAAGGATGAGTCCTTATTCATTAGCAATAAAGGTATTGCAATAGACAACAGTTAACAATGAACTTGAAATTATGCCATTCCAAGTGGATTCCTAGGGGAATTTAATATTATCTCAAAGCCTGCACATTGAAAGTTATTAATATGTTATGTAACACTATTTCAAATGTGCATGGCTAAAATTAGCATAAATTGGGTTATTACTTCTAGCAAACAAGGAAGGGATTAATTATTTGATTATGAATCATGGTATTCATTAAGATGGAAAATGTCTTTTTAACAGTCTTTGCGACAGTGTGGATGGACCAGCAGAACATTATGCTAAGTGAAATAAGCCAGTCAGAGAAAGACAAGTAGCATATTATTTCACTCATATGGAATCTAATGAACAAAATGAACTAACAAGCAAAATAGAGACAGACTCATAGGTACAGAGTAGTCAGACAGCTCTGGTGGTGGTGGCCGGGTGTTGGGTGTATATGTGAAGAGATTGAGCAAAAAAGAAAGAGAAATAATTCATGGACAGAGATAACAGTGTGGTGACTGAGGGGGACGGGGAAGGGGGGAGGTGAAAGAGGGTATATGGGGGCTAAATGGTGATAGAAACAAAACAAATTAAATAAATTAAATAAAAATAAATTAGAAAAAATGAAAAATGGTAAGGGGATTCTGAAATAAGTTTAAAATGTGAATTTGGACTTTTGTTTCCAGCAGCATGGCAAATAAACTTCTGGAAAGAGAGAGAGAGAGAGAGAGAGAGAGAGAGAGAGAGAGAGAGAGAGAGAGAGAGAGAAGAGAGAACTATGGCCAAATTTGCAACACCACAAATTATGGCCAAATTTGCAACACCACAGTGCCCACATATTTGGTCAAACATAATTCCAGCTGTTTCTATGAAGGTATTTATCTTTTTACATAAGATTAACATTTAAATCAGTAGACTCTGAGTAAAGCAGATTACCCTCCATAACTTGGGTGGGCTTCATCCAATCAGTTGAAGGTCTTTTTTTTTTTTTAAATTTTTTTATTGCTTAAAGTATTACAAAGGGTATTACATATGTGTCCTTTTTTTTTCCCCCGCCCTTGACAATCCCCTGGCCTCCCCTATCCCCCAGTGTCTTATGTCCATTGGTTATGCTCATATGCATGCATACAAGTCCTTCGGTTGATCTCTTACCCCCCTCCCTCCTGCCCCCCAACCCTCCCCAGCCTTCCCGCTGCAGTTTGGCAATCTGTTTGAGGCAGCTCTGCCTCTGTATCTATTATTGTTCAAAAGTTTATAATGGTCTCTATTGTCCATGAATGAGTGAGATCATGTGGTATTTTTCCTTCATTGACTGGCTTATTTCACTTAGCATAATGCTCTCCAGCTCCATCCATGCCGTTGCAAATGGTAAGAGTTCCTTCTTTTTTACAGCAGCATAGTATTCCATCGTGTAGATGTACCACAGTTTTCTAATCCATTCATCTACTGATGGGCACTTAGGCTGTTTCCAGATCTTAGCTATGGTGAATTGTGCTGCTATGAACATATGGGTGCATATATCCTTTCTGATTGGTGTTTCTGTTTTCTTGGGATATATTCCTAGGAGTGGGATAATAGGGTCAAATGGGAGTTCCATTTTTCAGTTGAAGGTCTTAAGAGAAAAAGAGTAGGTCCCCTGAGAAAGAGGCATTTGGTCTCTGGGCTGCCTTAGATTCCAGCTGCAAAATCAACCCTTCCTGGGTCTACAGCCTGAAGGCCTGCCCTGCAGGTGTCAGGCTTACCAGCCTCCCAATCATGTAAGCCAATTCCTTGCAACCAATCCATCTCTCTCATATACATACACATACACACATGTATATAGGTATCTATAATAATAAAAGCGTAATATGCTAATTAGACTGGATGTCCTTCCGGATGACCTCCTGGACGAATCCGGAGCTGTGAGGGAAGCCTAGGTCCTGGGTGCCAGAGGGAAGCTGGTTCCAGCAGCCGGGGGAAGGAAGGCCTACTCTTGCACTAATTTCGCGCATAGGGCCTCTAGTATGTACTAGTATATATGTGTATACATAAACACAAACATCCTATTCATTCTGTTTCTCTGGAGAAACCCGACTACTGTGATATCTATCAAGATTTTTAAATACATCAATGACTAACAGCAGAGTCAGAAAAATCTTCAAAGACCAAGAGATACTATGAGTCCAAAGAAAGGAGCTAATATTAGAGTGGAAGTTTGACCTGGTAGAACCTGTTGACCCTGGTAATATGGAGAACTAGTTTTCAAACTTAGGGATTACAATGTATCTAAAAGAATTGGGGGAAAACTATATACTTCCATATATATTTTTAAGTTGACATGTAAGTTTTTCATCATTAGCTTAATCGTTGCAAAGGATAGAATTATTTTTATATTGTATACATACCCAGGTGCATACACATGTACATATAGATATATCTCAAAATTAGTCATTCATTTTTAAAGCACATTCTACAGACTCTCATGACAATAGCGATGTCCCAGCACCATCACACACTTAAGATGACACGGACAAGCTTAACTTTAACAGCTGAGCAAGTAAAGTGAACAATAGAAGTCAGAGAATTACTTGACCAGGTGCTTTATTAAGATGTCCAGCATCTCTCGGTTTTTCTCTGGTAATTTGTGTACCAGTGCATGTACAGCCTCCACCCGGTAGTTTTGGTCATCAGATTCTGTAACATAAAAAAGGTTGCAAATCTCAAATTTTAATTGCATTAAAATGTGTACAGAAACACTAATAATCATCACAACCACACCCACCCCTTCATGCCTTAAAAGCACTGTTTCAAGTAGTTATTATCACATATCTTTCCCTAAGGCTGAGAGAGGCTCAGTAACTTGTCCATGGCCATGAACTTAGTGAGAAAGAAGTTAGCAAACCCAGGTCTATCTAATACCGGCCGGTGCTCTTAGCCACAAACTATATACATACAGACAACCGGAACTCATTGGTTTTGCTACACAAGGACAGTGATGTGAGTGACCACAGCCAGGGTTACAGACTGCCTAATGGGTCAGGCACTGCGACTAATGCTTTATCATACTGAAACTTCCAGTGACTCCATCAGACTAGAGCAGTGGTGGCGAACCTTTTGAGCTCGGCGTGTCAGCATTTTGAAAAACTCTGCTCTTAGCCACAAACTATATACATACAGACAACCGGAATTCATGGCCTGCTTTGGTTTTGCTACACAAGGACATATATTTAAATGCCATTTAACAAAGAAAAATCAACCAAAAAAGTGAGTTCGCGTGTCACCTCTGACATGTGTGTCATCGGTTCGCCATCACTGGACTAGAGGAAGCAGGCATTCCTTTCCAAATTTTACGAATTCAGAAACAACCAGGAGTTCTTTTTCTGAGGGGTCAGAATCATAGTGCAAACTGAGGCCTAGTCAATTTTAAGCCCATGCTGCCAACAGTAAATCTGAAGAGTGAGAAATCATCTACAGCAAGTCTCGTCTGCCAAGCCAAAGCCAAGATGCCGACTTATCTGATAGAGAACCTTCTAGTCCTTTAGAATAAGGGATCTATTAACATTCTTTTACTGCAATAAACAAATCCTGGGGTGACTGCCCACCCTACCAACCTCTTTCTCTGCCTAACCAATAGGGCTGATATTATGGGACCACCATTTCTTCTAGGCACACCTATCTGGAGTGAGGAAAGGCTGGCCAAACAGAGCTCTCTCTCTCTCCCAGGAGTTGAAATGAAGTCACCCAAACTGATCTGTCTGCTGGATATGTGGAAAGGCAGACCATGTATAACCAGGGCTGCTGGGACCTAATCTGCTCCAACCCAAGAAAGTCGGACTGAAAGAACAGAAATGAGAGACCTTCCAAATAGAGCAGGGAGAGACACCTCAGTCCCCAGCTCTGCGGTTCCTGGTTGCAGACCCCTGGGAGGCCTGACCCCTCCTCGGCCAAGGAGTTCTGGGAGATACTGCTTTCTCTCTAAATAGCCTCCCCTTCTTACTGAGTGGATTTCTGTGGCTTGAAACCAAAGAATATCTAATTTTATTAACTTAACATCTAGAAATAGGATTACCCTTGATCCAGACAAAAGATGAATTCTTATAGATAAGAACATATATCAATGATCATGGTAGTGAATAATATAATCATTATTTGCCAGAGAATAAGTGTAGAAAAAGTCTCACAACCAGATGTTTGTATCAAAATCAGCCGCTCATTGAGTCATTTCAGCTAAGTGGCTCAACTGCCATTTGTTATAAAATACATTATTTTACAAAAAAGAGTTCTAGATTAAGAGTCTACACTTAATGTAACCCTGGTATTGCCATGAATTTACCAGTGTCCTTACACAACATCTTTTTGCCCAGTCTGGATCCTGACTTCTTAATCAATGAAATGATTAAGGTCTTGTTCATTTCACAAAGGTAGATTTTCATGAAGAGAATGTTGCGAGAAGAGCTTTCTGGAGGAAGCTCAGTAGCATAGTTGTACATATCTATTCACAGGATCATGTGGTCAGCCATGTATGCTGGATTAAAAACCCAGGCCACTCAACTTTATCTGACACTGTTATCAGCAGACAACGTTTCCTGTGACATTACAATATGTGGTAATAAAATAAGGCAACTGATTTCTTTCTTGGGTTGTGAAAAATACATTGGTTTCAGTCACACCTCAACATCTTAACAATGAAATTCCAACTCCTAATTGTTACAACGCGTTGTGATGCTGTCAGATGGCGCTTTGGCACTCTGATCCCAATGTCGTAAAAGTACATATTTCTGCCCTAACTGGTTTGGCTCAGTGGATGGAGCATCAGCCTGCGGACTGAAGAGTCCCAGGTTCAATTCCAGTCAAGGGCACATGCCTGGGCTGCCGGCTCAATCCCTAGTAAGGGCTGGCAGGAGGCAGCCAATCAATGATTCCCTCTCATTATTGATGTTTCCATCTCTCTCTCTCTCTCCCTTCCTCTCTGAAATCAATCAAAAATATAAAAAAAAGTGCATACTTCTAACTTCTCACAGATACCTTCCCCCACCTCCCCTCAGGTTTTGAATTAAACCTATCTACTCACATCACATTTTAACAGTCACCGATCTAAAGAAATGACATAGATAAGTAATCACCAATACTATAAATATAATGTGGGGGAAGGAGATCGAGGGAAGTGCCTTTTGCCTGCCAAAAATATCTGATTCTTCTCTCCAGATCTGGGAACACAGTATGTGAGTATGTGTATGGTAGTGGCATAACTGACTGTACATATTTGTGGTCTTATCTATTTAACCATAAAGTTGCTCTTGTAAAAAACTGGCCTCCATCGATCCAAGTAAAATGTAATGAGAATAATTTCTCACAGCTTTTGCTGATCACACCAGAATGTCACTCCAATGAGGTCTTATTAAATGACAAAATATTTTAGTTCATCCTGCAATTTCTTATTTGTTAATAAACCGTATTGTAAGCTATTAAGTAACACATTGACAATTTCTTAATATGTAGAGAAGTCTTAACTAGTTGGTTTAAAGTTATACCTCTAAATAATACAGCATAGAACAATATCAATGGAAGCATACTTACTAACAGCAAGAATAAAATCTTTGTGCAACTTGTAGGTCATTAGTGGTTCTGCAAGGCACCTGCAACAGAGAACGAAGCATACTTTACAATGGCAGCATCTCTTTATTTCCCTGGACTCGCGGTGCTTCCTGGGAACTGGTGGTCAGGCTGCAGGATTAAGTCCAAGTAGGGAGGCTCCAGGCAGTGCTACAACGCAGACCTCAGAGACCCAATGCCGCTTAGCACTTCTTGCTACAATTATGATGTTAAAACGGGAGGCCCAGGGACCATTTTTCACTTTGTGAGTAAAACTCCTCTCAGATATGGGGATAATAGTTTAAGAAAAATAACTTTCAATTTCAGCTTATTTGTAAGAAATACATGTGAGCCCTACATTCAAATTTACTATGAAACAGCCCTGGCCAGTTTGGTTCAGTGGATAGAACGTTGGCCTGCAGACTGAAAGGTCCCGGGTTTGATTCCGGTCAAGGGCGCATGCCTGGGTTGTGGGCTCGGTCCCTAGTAGAAGCATGCAGGAGGCAGCTGATCAATGATTCTCTCTCATCATTGATGTTTCTATCTCTCCCTCTCCCTTCCTCTCTGAAATCAATAAAAATATATTTAAAAAAAAATTTACCATGAAACAGAAATTACTTAGTATTCATAAGATTCTTTAGCCTTTTAAGTTTATTATTTGAGAAATCAAGGATAACTAATCATTAAAAACATTACCACCTCATGGGGTGGAGCCAGCACACGGGGCGTGGCATCCCCAGGTGACAGCCCGATCCAGGCAGAGGTCACCGCAGAGTGCCTGCCGTTAACCCTGCTCACCTGAGGTAGTTTTTCAGTCCACTTGTTATTGTCTTATTATCCCATAGTTCAATATCAATGTCCATATCAGGAGGGGATTTGGGAGCTAAAGAGAATAAAAGTAAAATATTTAACAATTAAAAATACCACTTGCACCATTAAGAAAACAGGGACAAAAAAGTAAGTAGATCTAACAAAGGGGCACTAACCCTCAACTATTTCTTGTGGAATAATAGTCTCCCAAGTCAAATTGTTGCTAATGGCTAACATCACAGAGCATCCACCATGTATTGGGCACGCCTCTAAGTACTTCATGTGAATTAAAATTTCCAGGCCTCACAATTCTTAATGAAGCAGGCACTTTTATTATCTCCAGTTTATAAATGAGGAGGCTGAGGCACAGAAAGGTTAAGCAAATTCCCCACAACCACAAAGCTTTCCAGTGGCTGAGCTGGATTCCAAGCCAGGCAATCTGAATCCAGCAGCCATAAATCTCACTGCAACTCTAGCTAATCAAAGGACACGACAGAGAAAGTCCAACATCATAAAAAGCCTCCCTCTCCAATTCTGATTGTTCATCTATTATAACTGAACATTGAAAACTGAATACAAAATATTACTTGAAAATACTCAAGGCTAAGCAATAGGCCATATCTCAAAAAAATAAAACAATAACAAAAAAAACCCCACACCTATGGTTTGGATTATCTGTAAGAATACAAAAATTAAGTAACCGCTTCATCCAAAACTTACAAAATGTGGTGTTCATGAGTTTCTGAACTTTGGAGTTCACCCCTCCTATTCGGTAGAGGCCTAAAATTGTGATGCCTAATGGGAAGGAAAAAATCACAAGAAAACGGCTTGAGACAGCTTTCCAAGTACAGAATGTTAAAGACTCAGACATATGCCTACACAGAATCCGAAAGCTGCTTATCCAATTTTGTGGTCTCACTTTATCAAACCTCCCCCCTGGAAACACCCACCAGACATATATTTCTCAGAGCAGACACTGAACAGTGATTTGAAAGTCTTTGAAGATCAATCAAAGTAGCGAAGTACACCTGCCTATTCCCTAAGACTTGAATATGAATATGAAATAGCATCGCTCATCTATTTCTTCGGTCACGGAGTTCTGCATGTTGAACAGTTTTGTGGCATTTTTATCTTCACTGTAATGGTGAGGAAACAGATTCAAAGAATACAAGAAACCTACTCAACGTCTCAAAACTTCTAAGTGGCAGGACCAAAATTTGAATCTAAGTTGAAAGAACTCCACAGCCCAATACGAATTTTGCTTTAGACTGGTTTTCCTGGAAGTGCAATTGCCTCACAGACCACTAGAGTGGGCTTCAGGAGAGAGGTCACGACTAGAGTGAGGAAGGTGCTGAAATCACTGAAGGAAATCATATAGGGAAGGAGGGGCTGAACACAAGCTACTTAGGAATGTCACTGACCTCCCTAAAGCAGAAAAAAAACTAAAGGGGTACTTACAATAATAAGTCCATTAATAAGAAGTAAACAGGCTATTTTGGAAGATGTTACTAAGTATGTTTATAGGATGATTTTTAAAAAAAAATATATTTTATTGACTTTTTTACAGAGAGGAAAGGAGAGGGATAGAGAGTCAGAAACATCGATGAGAGAGAAACACCGATCAGCTGCCTCCTGCACACTTCCCACTGGGGATGTGCCCGCAACCAAGGTACATGCCCTTGACCGGAATCGAACCTGGGACCCTTGAGTCCACAGGCCGATGCTCTATCCACTGAGCCAAACCGGTTAGGGCTATAGGATGATTTTTGATTAACTAAAGCTCAAAGTAAAACTATTTATGTATTTATATAATCACAGAATTTTTTAAATTAATCTCATGTCACTGGCTAAATACATCTCATTTTCCGAGCATTTGTATATAAGAATGGACCACAGGACAGCAGCGATACACTTGTCAGGTGTACTGACCTCTTGTTTCCACAGCTTGAATGCATTTTCTCACAAAGTTGAAGCCTGCTTCATTTAAGTACACTGAAAAAGAAAAGAAAATCATTTTAAGTGTTCATGCTGGACTTACATTTCCCCTTCATTTGCCTCTCTCGTTTTATGGTTTAATGGTGGTTTTGGATAGAGTCTGAATTTTCATATGTGGTGGAAGCTGAGGAGGGTGGTTCACACTCACCAAAGTTATTACATGACCTCGCTTCATTAGAAACACAAATCATTTCAGAAAGTGAATGTTACATTGATCCCTTCCATTTTCTCTAAAATTAGCAATATCCTTCTCATTACAGGTTTTCACAGATGATAAAAGCAAAATGCAATAAGAATGAACTTTTATTGTGTGTTAGTAACTCTATTACAAAGCCAGTCACATGGGATTCTCAAAACAACATTATGATGTAGAGAGAAAGCTTTAATTTTAAAATGAGTCACTGGATTGCTGGAAACTTCATTTTTTGTTGTTGTTGTTCTAAGCTCTAGAGCCAGGATTCTAAACTTCTCTTGATTCCAAGTCCATGATCTTTCTTATTATATTTTGTACCGTATTCAAAATAATTCAAAATAACCTTAGTCAGTCCACTAAAAATCCCCCAATGATTATTATTACATTGTGAAATAGCTATTTATTTTCATTGCTTTATGCCAGATTTTCTTTAAAATCAGTTTTTTTTAAGGTTTTATGGCCTGATCAAATTAGATTACTTGTTTAAACAGAAAGGATTTAATAATACTAAGTGACACTGAGAAGAAAAACTCAAAAAAAAATTTTGTACTGTAATAAAAATTTTCATCACATGTGGTGGAGATATGGCATTTCTTAATATTCCCAACTAATAACATATGCAGACAACTCAAACTAATGAAAAATTAAAACTGACTTCCATTTAAAGATGATTCATGTAGCTCAACATGAATTCAAGAATATATATATATATATATATATATATATATATATATATATATGAAATCAAGAAGGGGTGCCACCAACAGGCGGAAATTTTGAAGAAATCCTGCACATAGAAAACCACTGAAATGGGAATTAACTGAAAAGTTTGAGAAACCTTTGGCCCCCAAAAAACCTCAAGGTACTGACATGAAAGAATGTTTATTATATGTTACTAGGTGAAAAAAGTAATCTACAGGATATGAACCAATTTCTTTTTTTTCCAGTTTTCTATTTTTTTATTGTTTCTTTATTTTATTATTTTCCATCACTATCCCCTTTTACAAATCCCTACCCTCCCTCCCTGCAAGCACCATACTGTTGTCAGTGTCCCTAAGTTCTTTCTCTTTTCTTTCTTGCTCCATCCCTCCACCCCTCCAACACCCTCTTCCTGCCCCCACCACCCCCTCACACACACACCAGAACAGTCTGCCTGCTCTTTATCTATGAGTCTGTCTCTACTTTGCTTGTTAGTTCAGTTTGTTACCCTTTGCAACAGCATGGATGGGCCTGGAGAACATTGTACTAAATGAATTAAGCCAGTCAGAGAAAGATAAGTACCATATGATCTGACCCAATTTCTTAAAATATAATAATATGAGGGTGTTTTTTTTCCTAGGAAAGAACTCAACTTTTTTTACATGCAAACTGCAAGTTAAAAAGAAGAGGACAGCCGAGGCCAGTTTGGCTCGGTGGATGGAGCGTCGGCCTGTGGACTGAAGGGTCCCGGGTTCGATTCCGGTCAAGGGCATGTGCCTGGGTTGCGGGCACGTCCCCAGTGGGAGATGTGCAGGAGGCAGCTGATCGATGTTTCTCTCTCATCAATGTTTCTGGCTCTCGGTCTCTCTCTCTTCCTCTCTGTGGAAAATCAATAAAATATATTTAAAAAAAAAAAAAAGAAGAGGACAAAGATAGAAATGATCATTTTTATTCACTGGGCTTTGGAACTATCTAATACTTAAAAAAATAAAATTACTTCCTTAGAAATTAAAAAAATCAATAGATTAAAAAATGTAAAAATGCCCAAACTAAAATACATGCTGTCACCAATAGCAACTGGCTCATTTATGTATGTGTCCCCAGTGCCTAAGTCAAGTGAATAGAAATCAGTGAATGCTTTGGGTGAACTCAACACACAAGAATGAATGGCCATGAAATAAGCATCTATTAGAGTTGACTCCCACATGAGGGTAGCTCCTTAGGACACCACACAGTGATTGCTTGTTTCCAATAATCCAAAACGCTAAGTGAAGCATTTTATACATGATACATTCCGAAATTTTTAAAGTAGTTTTTGGACATAGGAAAACAAGTGAATGGAGAGGTGAGGAACCAATCCTATATATTAAATAGGTAATATGCAAATTGACTGTCACACCCTCACACAAGATGGCTGCCCCCATGTGGTCAAAGATGGCCACCACAAGATGGCCAGCAGGGGATGGCAGTTAGGGGCAACAAGGCCAACAGGGGAGGGAACTTGGGGGTGGCCAGGTCTGCAGGGGAAGGCAGTTGGGGATGACCAGGAAAGCAGGGCAGGGCAGTTGGGGGCAATCGGGCCGGCAGGGGAGCAGTTAGGTATCGATCAGGCTGGCAGGGGAGTGGTTAGGGGGTGATCAGGCTGGCAGGCAGAAGCAGTTAGGGGGAATCAGGCAGACAGGCAGGCGAGTGGTTGGGAGCCAGCAGTCCGGATTGTGAGAGGGATGTCCGAATGTCAGTTTAGGCCCAATCCCACAGGGACCTAAATCTATGTTGAGCAGTCGGACAATCCTGAGGGGTCCCAGAATGGACAGGGTGCAGGCTGGGCTGAGGGACAACCCCCCCCCCCACCCGTCCCAGTGCATGAATTTCGTGCACTGGGCCTCTAGTATAAAACAAATAAAGAAATGAGGAATCAATTACTAATTTTCATTTTAAACAATAAACACTGAGCCCCCAAAATGCAATTTTAGGAAAAAAAAATGCACTAGCATTTTTGTACCAATTAAAACTGCAAGTTCCTGACATTTATGTTTGCTTCTTGAGGTCACATTGTTCAACTTTCCAATAAAATAAATTTAAAAGAGAAAAGCATTTTTTAAAAGTTTCAATAAAACTTGCCTGTGGCAAAATGAGTGAAGATAATTGTGATAGATAAAAACAGAATTTAAGTATCCATTTTGAGAAAAATAAGCAATAACCAGGCTACATCCTGAAGGTATACTGGGCTGTTTGGCAGCAATACCCCCAGTCTGTGCTAACACACAGATCTGACAGGCTCATTATGAAAATACAATCTTACAGACATGGAGTCTGCCTGCCAGGTCATCCCATGATACCGCTGTCGTGATGTGTCCATGGGTCTTGTCTTTAGTTCTATTCACTTCAGTAAACAAAACGCTATCAATCAATTTAGAGATGTGGAAGAATATCGTATGCTGGCAAAGATAACCATGCATTTCTTTTGTTTCTTTTCTGTGCTTTTTTTTTTTTAAAATCTTTATTGTTGAGAGTATTACAGCTGTCCCTCTTGCCCCCCTTCCCTCCCACACATTGCCCTCCTTCACCCAGATCCTATCCTGCTCCAGGCCTTCACCACCCTATTGTTTGTGTCCATGGGTAATGCATATATGCATATTCGTTCTTTGGTTAATCTCTTCCTGTCCCCTTCTCCCCTCTTCCCTCTGAGATTCATCAGTCTGTTCCATGTTTCCATGCCCCTGGTTCTAATTTATTCATCAGTTTATTTTGTTCATTAGATTCTTTGTTTATTTTGATTTTTAGATTCCATTGTTGTTGGATATGTATTGTCATTTTATTGTTCACATTTTTTATCTTTTTCTCCTTCTCCTTCTGAAAGAAGACCCTTCAATGTTTTTGTTGTTGTTTATTTTGAATGTCCTTTGCTACTGCCTAAAAGAGTATAGGGAGGTTCCATTGTGTAGAGATGGCACCCAGCTTTGTTTGGAGCCAGGGAAGCCTGGGTTGGATCTCAGTTCTACTTCACTGTATGAATGGGAATGTGCCTACGAACTTTTATGGACTCTAGTTCTTTCATTTATAAATTGAGAGAAATAAGATTACATGTTAAATGTTTGTAGTACGATAAAGATAAAACCATAGGAAGCCCTGAAGAGCTCCTAACCTAATTAAATGATAGTTTCCTTCTCCACGTGCACCTGTCCACACATCACCACATATGAATGAAAACAAGAAATGATGAAAGATGTCAGTCATTAGTTATAACCGGATGAAAGGGACAGTGGTTACTCTCCCACTTATCAGTTGTTACTACGCATAGTTTTAATAGCTCTGTGCCTCAGTTTCCTCTTCTATACAGTAAGGATAATAGCAGTAAGTCTCCAGAGGGCTATTCACAGATGGAATACAGTAATATCTGCACAAGTCATAAAAAGAACAGTGCCTGGAATACAGTAAGTGCTACAGAAGTATTGGCTATCACCATAACCATCATTATTGGCTATGGGAGAATATAAAAACCTACATGTGTAAAATACATGAACAAGGTATTTTCTGGGCACAGCCGCAGTCACTGGGGCTTGAGGAATTGTCTGCCAGGAGTGTTATTTTTCAAAGAGGCATACATATTACTTATTCTAAAGTATTTGGGGCTAGAGTAATGATCTGTTTCTTTTTTTAAAATATATTTTTATTGATTTCAGAGAGGAAGGGAGAGGGAAAGAGAGATAGAACCATCAATGATGAGAGAGAACCATGGATCTGCTGTCTCCTGCAAGTCACCTACTGGGGATGGAACCCACAACCTGGGCATGTGCCCCGGACCAGAATCAAACCCGGGACCCTTCAGTCCACAGGCCAACACTGTACCCACTGAGCCAAACTGGCTAGGGTTGTTTCTTTAAACAAACACAATCAGGCATAACCCATTCGGGCCCGTGAATCTAGCTGGCCACTGAAAAAATAAGTTGTATATTAAGAAATGTCCCTACATTCTCATTACACTCAACAAATCACAATGAACAAACACATCCTCTTCACTGGAACTGAATAGACTGAAGTCATCTGGAATCACTGTCCACCCATATATGTTGCCCCTTCCTACAGGAAGATCACATTATTCAGC